ACACCCCCCTCCCCCCCCCCCCCCCCCCCAAAGGGCTAAAACCTTGGTGGGTATAAACTAGCCACCTATCTCTTGGGGGTTTAGCCCGCGTCTCGCTACTGGGTGAGGTGTAAATAACAGAGTGTTGTGGAAAGGGAGACAGGATGGTTACATACGAATAAACTTGCTGCCTCGAAAATTCATCTGAGGTCCCCACCTTGTGGTCTCTCTAATGGGACTTTATGGTTCCACCTTCGAGATTTTTTAACTACAGCTGGACTGAGAGGATCAGTGCAGAAGCCACGCCGGGGTTTCCTTTTCGTCAGAGCAGGAATTAACGGTGGTAATAAAAATAGCAACCGGAACAATTTGTTGCCGCTGTGAAGAAATTCGGCTACCCTGAGAGATCGGAGACTGACAGCTCCCTAGCTAGATGAGCCGGAGCGTCTTTCTGCTGCATTTTAACTCATCTTCAGACTATCTACGGGTGCGATTTATTTATTTCTCACAATCGCATCCCCTCAGCTGCCCTTTATTTGCAACAGAAAGGATCCGCGAGAGTATGACAATGTCTGACTCATTTCTCGAAGGGAGACCAAGCTAAAAGCATCTGAGAAAATAACTTTTCCAACACTCAGAGGCGCTTTGTTCCTTCAGCCTAATACTTCATCATCCTTTCCCCCAGGAATGCAGCGATCTGGGTGCCACGATACAAGTGCTTGATCTGTAATACACCAAAGCCAGGAGTGAGTTTTAAAAGCCCCCCTGTGTAGCCCTGTGAACAGTACAGAAGCAAAAATGCCACACGTTACATTCAATGCTCATCATAACCTCGGAGGAGCTGAGCTTTCTCCGTCTGCCTCTCTATTAAACCCCAGGCGCACCTATAGTATGGCCCACACAACATATACATACACTACTAAAACATTGCACATAATTCTTAGTCCAGGTTAGTTCATTTTAAAATCCAGATTGCATTAGGACTGCAGGCCAGAACCCTTTTTTATTTCTGAAGAAAACCATTACCAGTCTAATTCTGTTATTTGTATGTTGTACCCTAACCCTTCAACCAGATGAATTCTTGATTTGTTTTTAAATTGTGAGATACAAAATACAAAAATACAGCTGTGGATAGATTGTCAGTTAAATAGACACAGGATAATAGATGGCATGGCCAGATGACTCAAAACATCCATCCGTTATTTGCGCATCAGCTTTCGTTCACCGGCCAAACGACATCAACGATTTTAAAGCCAGAAACATCCCGCTCCCCTTGATTGTAACACAAATCCCATGTGTTGGGTAGCTTCGTAATGACTCCTGGTAAATGTTTTGCCTGGGCGTTTGGGACACTAGAGATGGGCTCAGTGTGAGGTGCCTTTGGCAAAGGCTGTCTGAGGCAGGCTTCTTTTCTAAAGCCTGTTGTGCAGGGAGGCAGCCTGAAAGTCGGAGAGAGTGAGGGTGAAAAGCGTTCAAAGCCAAGGACTGGAGCGCAGACGTTTAGGGGATACTGAACCGGATCGAGGGAACAGATCCCGTCATCACTTTTAAAGCAGAACTCCCCTTTGTGCGTACTGGGGAATTCTGCTTAAAAACCTGACGGCTCGGTATAGTCCCGAGTTACTTTCTGTAGGAAACCTTACCAAAGTGACCAGTTCACTGCGTTTTCCGCGCCCAGATCCCAACCCTGCTCCGATTTGGGAAGGTGCCAAACTAACTAGGGGTAATCATCTGTGGCATGGGGGATCGTTGGTTCTAACAAGCGGATCAAATGTTGCTGGTAGGGTCATACAGTGGTCTGAGATCAGCGCTCAAAGAACCGCCGTACCATCCAACCAAGAGGCTCACTGCCCCTTTCTCAGCTGGCATTCTGCGGCATTGTAGGAATTCCTGGGCACCTAGAGCGCTCGCAGCCAGGAAGCGCATGGGTGGCCCTCCATGGCTGGCTGTGCAGGGGGAGAATGGAGAGCTCTGTACAGGTCTATTTCATCTAGAATAAAACCAGACTCAATGGAGAAGTGATTTGGAGAATTAAATCACGGGCCAGGCGTGGCATTTTCCTCTTTCAAGTTATTAATGGGGGAAATGCCATTTAAAATGTGTTAATTATTTGCTACTAGTAAATGTAACTCCCATGTTCCTTATTGGGATGACGGGCAAAGATTCACAACTTTCCTGGCCAGTAAGTACAGATCAATGGAGAGAGAAGGGGAACGCCTGGATACCGGGGGACAGAGCTTTCCAGCAAAATATCAATCTTCTAATAAGTATGGCATCAAGCCGAAAGCGCTATTCCCAGGGATCAGGATTACAGGCATCTTTTGTTTTTAAAAATTGCTCTGAGGAATGAATGTCAATATTTCTCACTGTGTGTCATCAAAGAAGCATCACATGCGCTAAATTCCAGCAGGACAATCGCTCACTGGTCTAAGAAGAGATGTACATGTTATAAAAATATGCTTTAAGTGATCCTTATATGTTCTAATAATTATATGTTGGACAAAAATATGTTTAGGGGGAGGGAGGCAATCATGCAGGTAAACCTACCACCTAACACACATATATATATGCCGGTGTTCCTCCGTGTACCCAGCTCAATCGAATATACGTAACACACAAGCACGCTATGGAGATCTGTAGGTTACATAGCTCGCGGCTTTAAAAAAAAACAAAAACAAAGGCATCACGTAATGTCTTTATGCAAAAAATTTATTATTTTTTTACATAAATAAATAAATAAATATCTTCCGGTATTACAGAAACCGTACAATCACATAGCTATGGGCCTGAAAGAAACGCCATCAAGCAAACCTTACAAACAAAGCCAACCCCTCTCCCCCCAGATCTCTCTCCTTCAAAACCAAACAAACCAAATCGCCAAACCCCAGTTCACGCTTCATGACCTGCCTCTGGAGATCACCGCAGCGATCCTGTGCGTGGCCCCGCGTTAGCTTTGGAGAGGGACGAAAGGCTGGGAGATAATAAGGCGGAATGGCTGTAGACCACTGATACAAATTACAGAACTCGTCCCTCCCCCCGCGCTGAAAAAGAGATTGCTCTGGACATTCGCTGTTTATCAGATACAATGAATCACAATTCACAACACTGAGGTGGGGCGAGGGAAGCGTTTTGCCTGCTGACAAAACAAAAAACCCCTCTCCACACGTCAAATAGCAACAGTTGGCAACATTTAGGCTCACACGGACAGTTTATTTACAAGGGAACCATCGATATAGCGGCATTCACAAGGTTTCTAAAAAGGCCCGAAAGTCCTTTGTAAATTACATTAAATATACAAAACAGTATAAAATCCTTCCACAGCGTTTTGGCACGGGCCAGGGCCAGATCCCCTTCTGCTCTCAGGGGTTAGTCTCTGGGGGCTGTGTTAGGGCGTGACTGTGAGGTCTCTATCGTCTTTCCCTGAGGAGGACGGAGACATGGGCAAGTCCTCGTCGTCTTCCGAGCACTTTGTGGTGGCCAGAGAGGAGCATTTGCAGCTGTGGGCAGAGCCCCCTCCTCGGTGGGAGCTGCTCTTGCCTTCTTTCTTGTGCTTGACGCGGCGGTTCTGGAACCAGATCTTCACCTGCTTCTCGGAGAGGTTCAGGTAGGTGGCTATCTCGATGCGCCGGAGCCGGGAGAGGTACATGTTGGAGGCGAACTCTCTCTCCAGTTCCAGGAGCTGCGTGCTGGTGAAGGCGGTGCGCATCCGCTTGCTGCTGGGCAGCTGGCTGGAGGTGCTGTCTGGAGAGGAAAGCGGGCAGTGAGACTCAGTGGCGCTAAACCGGCTGCGCCCACACCTGTCCTAGAGGCGCATTTTGGCGTCCGGGAAACCTCCCCACATCCCCCCAGGACGGAAGCTCCCAGATCCCCAAGCCACGCAGCCAGCGGTTGCCCCTACGAGCGCCACAGGGCGCACGATTGCAGGGCTGCGTCTGGGCGGCGGGTGGCATGTCCCGCCAATCACCCCATGCCACGGATGTTAGACGGCCCGGCACGGGCTGGATCTGGCCTGCGCTGCAGTGCCACGCGCCCCCTTGCGCATCACTGCCCAGGCTGGGCCCGGCAGAGGCTGCAGCTTCCCGCCTCCCCCATTGCACCCAGGGCAATGCGCCTCTGGCCCTGGTTACCCAGCCTGGGGGGCGCACGGGGCGTCGGGCAGGGCAGGAGCGGGCACTTACCCACGGAGATGCAGTGGAACTGGCGGGGG